GCATCTACGGTTATGGTAGACTGTTTCTCCTTATCCAGAAATCTCCATAATCCAGGACCAGGCCGTATCCTGAGCAGATGCTGTGGTGGCCATGGAGGAGTGAAGAGCACGAGACTCCATTGACAGATGAGTCTCCACATTGATCCCGCAGACTAGCCTGAATACACACCAGTGACCTACTTATAGCTGCAGCTTCTCCACGATGGATGTCCGGCATTCTCCAACCTCTGGTGCCTAGATTCCAGCTCTGCACAAGTTTGGCCAGAGGAGAAATGGTCGTGCCCAACTGAGCCTGGTTTCTCTCACGGCTTTCTTCCCCTTCGCTTTGGTCAGTTGGTAAAGATTCGCCACTGTTGACACTGGCTTGTTGGTTTGAGACTTGTGGAGCCACGCATCATTGGATTTGCTCTTCAGTGTTTGGACTTTCAGCAGTAAAAACTAAACCACACTAAACTGAACAATTTCAATGTACTACAACTTCTATGTTAAGCTGCTTTGATGCAATCTACATTGTAAAAGAATTATAGAAATAAAGAATTGAACTGAATTGAAGTTTACTGTCTGTTGTGAATAATCAGCAACAAACAAAATGTCCATTATCATATCAAACAGTAGGTAAACACTGTAAACAATAAGGACCATCTATCGTAGACACCAATATCTATCAACACACTTCATCACCTTACTTTCCGTCCAAGAACAGTCTCACGCTTTTGTAATAACAATTAACCTCTTCGGTGCCATTCTGTGAGTGAATATGCAGGTTAGTGTATGCTCCATCCATCTCTTTTTACTTTCTGTCAGCTTCGGGTTTGATTAAAGAATTAATCAACTATTACAGGTCAGAAAATGTGTTGTGTTTAAGTTTTACATTTTGTGACAATTAGTTTGTAATAAACAGGATAAAGTACATTCAGGCAGCTGTTATTTCAGATTAAAGCCCTTCAGTCTTATACAACAGCCTTCTGATTTACGTGTGTCTTTTTTTCAGTAAATAAACCAATCAATCTGCCTACAATTAATTGATATGCAGGTGTGGTCTTGAAATAAATTGTCGATCTGATTAGATTGAGATCAAAATGCACTTTAACCCAAATCAAGAGCTCCAAAATAGATCTCAAGACGTCAAGAACTTTCACATAAACTTTCTTTTAAGCTTTTTTTTTCTAAACTTTGCACAGACTGCAAAAGCAAAAAGGATTTCTGGTGATTCTGTGAAGGACATTGTACTTAAACCTTTATAGATGAAATCAGAAGAAACTCAAATCCCAAAGTGTCTTCCAGTAGTTCACAGATCACGTTTAAAACCAAACCTGAATACGTCCCAAAACAAGCAATCAATGCGCTACAGTGGAGGAAACTTGAGACGCGAGTCATGGTTTGGTGCTCATACTTTTAGAACCACAAAATATATAGAGGATATACTTGCAAACAGTGCAAAGTGACTTCTTAATCACAAAATATGTAGATATATGTGGCTTTTTTAAAAAAGAGGATAATTTAGTTCAATCAAACGAAAAATTCCAGGATCTTGGGATGATATAAGCTCACTGGACAAAATCTAGCTTTGGAGACCCTAATGATGATTACTATTTCCTGTGATGTCGTTAAAAGACTAAATACACAGATCCTTTAATAAATGAATTGAGAAAGCAATAATTCATACAGTAAAAAATAAAACTACAGGCACTTAATCATTTAATGTAGTGGGTGGCAATGTTCTTTTCCCATAGTTCATTTCAAGCCATTCTGGGCTGCGTTTTCTAATAGCACTGTTAGCCAACTATGTTCACAAGTTTAGTTGAGCTAGGGTTATTGTGAGAAATGCATAACTGCTCTAATGCACGATTGTGAAAATGAAGATACAGTTTACAATAATTTTTGTTATTTTGTCATTTATGCCAAGTAAAACACATTTTTTTACATCCACACACTTGTTTGCTTGGTTCCATTAAATCAGACTCAAATTTGTTTTACCCTTTGGTAAGTGCGGATCATTCTGGCAGGTGTGAATACAGTAATCGGCCTCTAGTGCGCACCAAGCAAACGGACCGAGACCCAGCTGAAGAGGCGGTCTCCAGTGTTTCCACTGTAAACCAACTATCAAAATCCCTGGCATTAACCAAAGACTATAGAATACTAGTACAGGAGCTGATCATTGATCTCTATAGACTGACGTTTCTCAGGAGGAGAAGCTCAGACCAGCCGTGTGTTTTTACGACAGTTTTTGTGGTTAACAAACACAATGTAATCTCAGCGAATACTTGCTTCACAGACTTGTGAAATATCTCAAAATAAAGCTTGAAATCTCTACTATTAAATGATCCAACTACACTTGAAAACAACGTTTTTTGGTTTTGTAACGTTTTTTGGTTTTTATGAAACAAATGTGGGGTACAGTCCATCCTGTGAAACGCACAACACATGACAGAAACAACTACTCAAGTGCCATAAAAAAGCACACCACATTTTTCTTGTTTTGTCAACAAAAAAGGCAACGTGATGCGCTTTGCGTTTTTGGAACGTAGAAACGTGTTTGGTGTGGTCGGCCACTAGCTGTGCTTTATGTGCTACTAAAGAATAACAAAAAACAGTGGACCTGTTTGGCGTCATACGGTCCATCAGATCCTTTAGAGGTGTACCTTTCTTGGTTTCACTAAATCTTCCAGGAGCTGTGCCTGGATAAAAGTCACTACTAGAGCTAGCTCCTAATTGGTTAATGCTCTGTGAATTTTCACCAAAGTTTAGAATTTTAAACTAAAGCGATTAGCATATGCGTTAAACGCCCATTCGCACAAACCATGAAGCAGGATGTCTATTGCGTCTTTGCATAGACTTAACATGTAAATTCCTAGCATGTAATGCTTCAAATATGTCTGGGTGAACACACCATTAGGGGTCGTTCACATAACGCATCTTTTGTGCATGTAAGTTCGTTATTTCCAATAGAGTGACTCATCTGCATATTCCAGGCACACTTTCTCAACTTTTCAGAATGCCGTGAAGTAGGGCTGCTCGATTTTGGGAAAAATCATAATCACAATTATTTTGGTCATAATTGTAATAAAGATTATTCCAAACGATTATCAGTTGAAGTCAAAATTTTTAGCCTCCTGAGAATTATTTTTTTAAATAAATATTTTCCAAATGATGTATAACAGAGCAAGGAATTTAACAGTATTTTCTCTAATAATTTTTTCACCTGGAGAAAGTCTCATTTGTTAGAATAAAAAGCAGGTTTAAATATTTTGAAACCTCTTTTAAGGTCAATATTATTAGCCCCTTTAGGCAATATATATATATTTGTCTGCAGAAGAAACTACTGTTATACAATGGCTTGCATAATTACCCTAATTAAGCCTTTGAATCGCTTTAATTTGAATGCTTGTATTTCAAAAAAATATCTAGTGAAATATTATGTGCTGTCATCATAACAAAGATAAAATAAATCAGTTATAATAAATGAGTGATTAAAACTATTTTGTTAAGAAATGTAAAAAAAAAAAAAAATCTTTCCATTAAACAGAAATTAAGGGCTAATAATTCTGACTTCAACTGTTTATATACAGTTACTTTCCTCTCTGCAAAGGAAAGAGAAATAAATAGAATAGAATAAAAATATGAAACAAACTGTACTTTAAACATCCTTACTGTAAGAAAAACACTTCAGCTACAAAAGTCCTTCAGTCAAGAGCAGCGAGGGATTTTCTCCTTGTTGTTTGATTAATAATGATAAAGACAGGCGGCAGCAGGAATATCGCCCTGTCACTTTAATGGTTTCTCTTTCACGTGTCTTTTGATTCTCAACTTGTTTGTTTATTACACAAATGAAGGTTAATATAAATAATCACAAAACATCGAGTTTTGACACCTATTTGATCATTAAAGCGCTCACATTATTAAGATGACTTTAGATGTGTGCATTCTGCTCGTCACAGTGTGCGAATGAGACCAAATGCTGACCGCATGCTTCTGACTATGTCTGTGCTACGCACACACACACACATTTAGGCATGCGGTCTTTCGCATTTTGGAAACGCTGGAGAGGTCGTTTTCATTCTAAAACGCTGCTGCTCCGTCTCCGTGTGGATGGGGGAAAACAGAGACATCTGAAAACGGAGGCAAGGCTGCTGAGATTCGCTACCTGATTGGGGCTTTTGTGTCATTGTGTCTCCTTCCCTTATTCGTCAAGCCCCTATCACATGACTATAACACATGGCTTTAACGCTACCAGAAGACAGCCGGCCTCCACTGTAGACAACAACACGGACAGAAATGGGAGCATTGTTTGCATTATTGTCTGTTTTAGGCGGCATTGTGCAGTTATTCATTTGTTACGTTTAATAACAACTCAACCTCGTCGTCTGTCCACAAAAATACCTCTTTTGCTTTCTTTGCCATCGCGTTCATTGTTCAACCGGCGTTTGTTGACTAACAATGGCCAAATGCCGAGCGAGACACATGCTTCCTGCTATACTAGAATGCGCATGCCCAGAGTGCGTGAATGGTCACGTGATATACGTTATTGGTGGCGTAGTGTGGATAGAGATATGTTCAGAAACGCTAGGTGAAACGCTAGTGTGGACGCGGATCGTATTTGATCTAAAACGCAGTTCTCAAACTAAAACGCACTAGTGTAAATGGGGCCTAAGAAAACAGTTGATAGTCGCCTCGCAATGACAAAGGATTAAATTAAAAATGTTGAAGGTAGTGAAGCACTTGTGCTTTCCATGTGCTATTAGGCATGCTATGTGAACTTGCACTTTGCTGCAGAAATTGGGAACTTCTCAACTTTTCAAGCGCCAACAGACACGTAAGCCAATCAGATCGCTTTATGCAAATACACCAGTTCAGACAGCAGTTGATTGCAGACTCATTTCATTGGCTAATGCTGCTATGACGATCGCGTCAGCTCCAACTCCAGACATGCCCTCTTTCAAGTATTGAGGCTGAAGTCCTGTGTGAATCGGGCGTTAGACTTCAAAAAGTTTGTTTCCTACCTGATCAGAGATTCTAAAATGAGTGGTGAAGCCCCCTTTTGAAACTCCAGCTCCTTGTAGTGCAGGGCTTTGGCGTAGGCCCGACATTTAGCAGCTCTCTCCCCCAGCAGAACTATCCCATTGTCATCTCTCAAAGGAAGTGGGCCCTGAGTGGCAAAAAGAACAACCACAAAAAAACCAAAGAAAGATTTTAGATATAGAGGACATGAACTGAATGGAATAGCATATTAAACAGGCTAGAACGGAGCACTTATCCCAGAAGGGTTTATATAACAGTCTAACTGGGTAAACTTTTCACTTCACAGCTCTCAACTTTAAATGCCCATTTGCCATGTCACCAGCGGAGGGTGTGAGCAGCGTTTGTTGTGATGGAATAAAAGTGAACAAACGTACCATTGATTCAGACTTCAACACAATGAGCTCATACTAAATATGGAAATAAATCATTTAAGTGAGGAGGGGAACTAAAGCTCTCTTTTCGAGGTTAACCATGCTGTGAAATAGAAATAATGTACACTTGAAGTCAGAGTTAATGGACCCCCCTGTATATTTTCCCCCAATTTCTGTTTAACAGAAATAATTTTTTCAACACATTTATAAACATAATAGTTTTAATAACTTTTTTCTAATAACTGATTTGTTTTATCTTTGCCATGATGATAGTATAGAACATTTAACACAATATTTTTAGGATACTAGTATTCAGCTTAAAGTGACATTTAATTTAACTTAACTAGGTTCATTCGGCAAGTTATTGTATAATGATGGTTCTAGCTAAAATAAATATAATAAAACTTTCTTCAGAAGAAAAAATACTATTCCTTGCTCTGTTAAGGCTGGTTTATACTTTTGCGACGAGTGATCACTGTGACCCACGGTGCGTACCTTGGTTGTAGCTGTGCATTTATACTTCTGGATGCTGTTGTTGGAATATTGGAATACATAATCAATTCCATGCATGTTCAATAAAAAAAGGTCAGGAAATCAAACATTTCACTATCATTAAACACAATGTCTTTCTCCCCTGCGTGTGTGTGTGTGTTTGTATTTCCTCTGTCTTCAGCGCGTGCCCAAATGGCAACTCCCATGTGGCAACCACCTGTGTGGTTGAGAGCATCCTGACCAACTGCATTACTGTATGGTATGGCAACGCTACTGTAAAGGACTGCAAACGTCTGCAGAGAGTGGTGAGGACTGCAGAGAAGATCATCAGGTCCCCACTGCCTTCTCTGCAGACTATCTACCATCACAGAGTCCACAAGAGAACTGCCTCCATCCTGAAAGACCCCACTCACCCACAACACAGAAAATTCACACTCCTACACTCAGGGCGGAGGTATAGGAGTGTGAGATGCAGGACTGCCAGACTCAAGAACTCTTTCTTCCCATCAGCTATCAGACTTCTAAACAGATAACCAATGCACATAACAGTCTCTTTTTCTGCTCAGTACAATATACATTCTCCATCCCAGTTTGCACTATTTTATTTTTTTTGCACATAAGCCAATTGCACTAGGCACTTTTTGCATAATAAGCACAATTAAAAAAAAAAAAAAAACACTGTACATTGTTCATTACTCAAATCAGTTTTATATATTGTTTACTTTAATAGATATTTATATACTTACATTTTATAATCCTACTTCAGTCACTTCTCTGTATTTATGTGTATTAGTTTGCAAAACATCACACTCGAGAAGAAATTCAGTTAATATACACCAAGGGTCACCAATCTCGGTCCTGGAGGGCCGGTGTCCCTGCAAGGTTTAGCTCTAACTTGCCTCAACACACCTGCCTAGGTGTTTCAAGTATACCTAGTAAGACCTTGATTAGCTTGTTCAGGTGTGTTTGATTAGGGTTGGAGCTAAAATCTGCAGGACACCGGCCCTTCAAGAACAAATTTGGTGACTCCTGATATACACTTTAAAGCAATACAAATACAATTGTTTAATGAAAAGAAAAAGAGACAAAAATTCCTTTTGTAATTCAAAGAACCTAACAGTGTTAATTCTCAACAGTGTGTTGCTCAGCAATCACACTTCCGAAATGCTAGCTGGCAATACGTGTTTATGTTTCTTATGTTCTTATGTTACGTGTCGAGTTTCTTTACTGGTGTTATGTTTTTTCTGAATGCTACCTTAATGTATAAGTAGCTAAAACTAATTCATTCACAGTCAGGAACTGGCAGATGTGCAACAACTTTAATCATAAGGTAAACACAAAACAAAAGTTTACATCAGGAGCTCCTTTACAGGACTCGACACTTCGGGTCGAACGGGTTCACGCGGCTCTCACCCACGCCCACACTCGTCAGTGATACCAAGCCAACCAATCACAGAGCTTGTGCTACGTGTCGTTGCGAGGTGTAATTACATTTTTTAAGAGGTGCATGTCAGTGTTGGCATCAGCCACGGCGAGGGCTATGTGACCACGTAAAGGCTTCGCTGGCCCATATGCGTGTGCTTGATGCAGAAGTATAAATCAGCCTTTAAACAATAAGCTAATAAGCTAAGCTAAAAAATAAGCTAATAATTTGGACTTCAACTGTATGTTTATCATTGTGATTAATTTAAATACAAAAAAAATACAGAATACAGAAAAAAACATCAGTAAATCAGTTTAAGATTCATGAATAAACATTATTAAATATAAAATATACCAAGCTTGCCAGATCTTGAGATATTTTTCTGGTCTTGCAAAGTTTGTTAATTAATTCATCTAGTGACGTAGACCTAACATGACGCTTGTGGTCGAATGTCAGCTTCATCACTGACCTTATCGCTGTGCTCCATGAATTCTGCGAGGTTGAGCAGTGTCTGTGTGACCTCAGCAATATCCTGAGATGTCAGAGCAAGCTCAATACTGCGGATCAGCTCATCCTGCTGGTCTTCACTCAGCTCGGACCAGCACGATAAGAATGCAGCATTGAAAAGATCCCTACAAGAAACAGACAATACACACACACAGGTTCTGATCATTTTGTCCGTAAAAGAGTTGACAGTAATTACTTCTGACCATAAAATACATGTACGTCTTTAAGGCTAACAGGGTTCCTATGGAGTCAATCTAGGGCCATATATACTTGCAAAATAAAAGAAGGTTTTGCAAACAAAAAATAAAGTATTAAATAAAAAAATAAAAAATAGAAATCCCCCAAAATTAATTTAAGCGAAATTAAAAAGCGAAAATTAATTTTACTAACAAAAATAAAGGACTCAACTAAGCTGAGTACCAACTTTTTAAAAAACATTTTAAAAGTCCTATAGAATTAACCAGTTGAGTTTTACCGTTTTTTTAATCAATTTAGCGATCTCTGGGTCTGGCGGGAGCACTTTTAGCTTAGCTTAGCATAAATTATTCAATTGGATTAGACCATTAGCATTTCGCTCAAAATTTTCCAAAATGAGTATCGAAAAATGCTCAACTCAAGGCTTAATACTTCTGTAGTTACAATGTATAGAAAAAAGGGAAAAATGAAGAGTTGCTATTTTTATATTCTGTTTTCTACACAATGTATCTACAGAATCTTCAGACTTTAAATAGCAAAATCACTGAAACACAACACAAAGCACCTCATGTGTAAAAAAATTTTTGGAAAAAAGCTCATTTTCCAAGAGTTAAACAGCTGAGTTTTGTCATTTTTAAATCCATTTAGCCGATCTCCGGGTCTGGCAATAGCCCTTTTAGCTTAGCTTAGCATAAATCATTCGATCGGATTAGACCATTAGCATTTCACCTTAAAATTTTCCAAAATGATTACCAAAAAATGCTCTACTCAAGGCTTGATACTTCTGTAGTTACAACGTGTACAAAGGAGGCAAACATAAAGAGTTGCTATTTTTATATTCTATTTTCTACACAATGTATCTACAGAATAGCCGGGCTTTAAATAGCAACCTTTAAATATACAACACAAAGCACCTCATATGTAAATCTATTTTTTTAAATAAGCCCATTTTACAAGACTTAAACAGCTAAGTTTTGCCATTTTTGAATCCATTCAGCCGATCTCCGGGTCTGGCAATAGCACTTTTATCTTAGCTTAGCATAAATCATTCAATCGGATTAGACCATTAGCATTTCGTTCAAAAATTTCCAAAAAAACATCCTATTTACAAGACATTTTTGTAGTTACATTGTGTACTAAGAGCATTGGAAAATATATATACATATTCTATTTTCTACACAAACTACAAAATAGTCAAGCTTTCAATAGCAAAATTATTGAAACATTTGTTGAGATGCTAATGGTTTAATCCGATTTAATGATCTGATTCTCCCACCAGAATTCCAAATAAAATAGAGGATTCCTTTAACATAATATTGAAATGTGCATAACTAACATGTTGTAAAAATAACATATTAATGGACCAGTAAAAAAAATAAAGATTTGTATCCGTCGCAAAAACGTCTTGAGCAAAATAAATTCAAGAAACTGTATCTATGCACTCTATATTTCCAGGGCTTGAATATATATTTTCACAAGCTTTCATATGAACACTGGGCCTGTTACTGAAATGGTACCTCAGTAGAAAAACAGACAAAGAAGGTAAAGTTTACCTAGCCAGTGGTATATATGTCTGTGCTAGAGACCAGCAGGAGCGCAGGGCTGGTGAGGAGGATTCCTTTAGCAAGACCACACTAAGTCTTCTCAACCACTCCAGCCAGTCATCTTTGGACACCTTTCTGGCTGCACCCCATGCCTGCAAACAGCAGAAAGAGAACTAATACACAGACAAAACATGTGTGATGAATTCTGATCTAGTCATCTGCCTTGCACGCTACTACACAGAGAGCATTCAGGCACCTTTGTATGTGTGCCTTCTTTTTTTTTTAAATGAAGACAAAAGACACTCTAGGCTGTTGAGTCCATCCATGGGTGAATGTTCAATATTTGAAATTGAATGCGATGGTTCGGAAGACAGTGGAAAAAGCTCTCAGGGAACACCTGTGAGTGATTATGATGCGTTCACGAATCGCAGACAACAGACAATGCCTTCAATGGTGCGCCTAGAGGACATATGTACACTATCTCTGTCTGAACAGGATGATCTAGTGTGCTTCTGAAGACAGATGTGGCTCAAATGAAAATATATACAGTTGAAATCAGAAATACTAGTCCTGAATTATAAGGGAAAAAAACATATTTCAATATTTCTGAACACAATAGTTTTAATAACTAATTTTGAATAGTTGTTTTTTTGCCATGATGACAGTACATAATATTCTACTAGATATTTTTCAAGACACTAGTATTCAGCTTAAAGTATAATTTAAAGGCTTAGGTTAATTGGGCAAGTTAGTGCTATTAGGCAAGCCATTGTATAATGATGATTTGATCTGTAGACAATTGAAATAATATTGCTTAAGAGGGCTAATACTATTGACCTTAAAACGTTTTAAAAATACAAACTTCTTCCACTTATTGTAGTCAAAATAAAACTCTCCAGAAGAAAAAAATATTATAGCAGGGCTAATAAATTTAACTTCAACTGTACGCAAATTTATTAACAATAAAAACCTGCAAAATCACATGTACATTAGTATTCACAGCCTTTGAAGCTCTAAATTTAGCTCAGGTACCTTTTGTTTCCACTGATCATTCTTTAGTTGTTTCAGAAGCTTAATTTGAGTTCACCTGTGGTAAATTCAGTTGATTGGACATGATTTGAAAAGGCATACATCTGTCTATATAAGGTCCCAGGGTTGACAGTGCATGTCAAAGCACAAACCAAGCATGAAGACAAAGGTATTGTCTGTAGACCTTCGAGGCAGGATTGTATCGAGGCACAAGGCTGGGGAAGGTTACAGTAAAAATTCTGCTGCTCTAAAAGTTCCAATGAGCACAGGGGCCTCCATCAACCGTAAGTGGAAGATGTTTGAAACCACCAGGACTCTTCTGGCCGCCCATCTAAGCTGAGTGATAGAGGAAAAGGGCCTAAGTCAGGGAGGTGATCAATAACCCGATGGTCGCTCTGTCTGAGCTCCAGCGTTGTTCTGTGGAGAGAGGAGAACCTTACAGAAGGACAACCATCTGTGCAGCAATCCACTAATCAAGCCTGTGTGGTAAAGTGGCTAGACCGAAGCCACACCCCGCCTAGAATTTGCCAAAAGGCATCTAAAGGACTCTCAGACCATAAGAAATAAAATTCTCTGGTCTGATGAGACTAAAACTGAACTCTATGGAGTGAATGCCAGGCAATACATTTTGAGAAAACCAGGCACCGCTCATCACCAGGCTAATACCATCCCTACAGTGAAGCATGGTGGTGGCAGCATCATGCTGTGGAGATGTTTTTCAGCAGCAGGAACTGGAAGACTAGTCAGTCTAGAGCAGGGTTTTTCAAAGTCTAAGACAGTGGGCCTCCCTTTTGACACAACTTATCCATTGGCGCCCCCCTCCTCCCATATATATATACAGTGTATATAAAGACACAGACAGATGTCAGACTGTTAACTCACTTTTGTCATCATTTGCATGAAAGTGCAATTATTTACAGAGTAATAAGTATTTTAATATAACGTTTTTAAAACTAGGATGATGGTTCAATATGAATAGAACAGATCCAAGAACTGACTCCATCCCAGTCAAAACAGTCGAAGTTTAGCGGGTCCCATGCTGTCATTAGCCAAAATATTTTGACAAACCACACATAAAGGTCGTGGTTCATCAGCTGGTCCTGTCCACGTAAATCCCAAACTCAAATACTGATCATCATATCGTCGTCTTTTGGGTTTAAGCCCTGAACTTGAAGGCTTTTGTGGCGAGGGGGCGTGGCCGAGAGCCGTGGGAACGTAGTGAGGCCACCGCGTAAGTGGATACACCTGCGTTGCGCACCTGCCTCGGATCGCACGGAAGGAGCTCTGGATCATAAAAGGAGGAACGAGGGCAGAGGAAGCCGAGAGAGGACCGGGCCCGGGCATTTTACTTTTGCTTTCAGTTTGACGGCAGTCTCCGTGAGGAGCTGCCGTCCGTTTGTTCTGGTTTGGACGGCAGCCTCTGTGAGGAGCTGCCGTCACTGTTATTAATAAATCATTTTAAAACTGCTTCGGTTCTCCGCCTCCTTCTTCCTGGCGGCCAAAGGGCCGTGAACTTCATTACAGCTTTGAATCGGGGGGGTCTCAGAAACCGACCCATTGTATTAGCAGGCATATACCTGTATTGGCGGGCTTGCCAAACAGAAGCGAATTCACAGCTATGGCCTTCTGGGTAAAAAAGGTTTTCTTACATTTGACGTATTATTTTTTTTTTTTGCTTTGTTTAATTAAAACGTTTAAATATAATAAAAAAATACATATAATAATTAAACTTAATAATTATATTTTTATTACATTTTTTCCCGCGCCTCCCCTGACATGCTCTGGCGCCCCCCAGGGGAGGCGCGCCTCACACTTTGAAAACCCCTGGGACAGAGGGAAAGATGAATGCAGCAATATACAGAGACATCCTGAATGAAAACCTGCTTCAGAGTGCTCTTGACCTCAGACTGGGGTGATGGTTCATCTTTCAGCAGGATAATGACCCAAAGCACACAGCCAAAATGTCAATGGAGTGGCTTCACAACAACTCTGAGAATGTCCTTGAGTGGCCCAGCCAGAGCCCAGACCTAAATCCTATTGAACATTTCTGGAGATATCTGAAAATGGCTGTACACCGTCGCTTCCCATCCAACCCGATAGAGCTTGAGAGGTACTGCAAAGAGGAATGGGTAAAAATTTCCAAAGACAGGTGTGCCAAGCTTGTGGCATCATATTCAAAAAGACTAGAGGCTGTAATTGCTGCCAAAGGTGCATCAACAAAGTATTGAGCAAAGGCTGTGAATACTTCTGTACGTGTGATTTTTCAGTTTTTTTTTTTTTTAAATAAATTTGCAACAATCAAAAAAAACGTTTTTCACATTGTCATTATGATGTATTGTGTGTAGAATTTTGAGGAAATAAATGAATTTAATCCATTTTGGAATAAAGCTGTAAGATAGAAATATTTGGAAAAAAGTGAAGCGCTATGAATACTTTCCAGATGCACAATACATTCATTTATATTTATCTATAGTTGGAGGTCGTGTGTTGGCTCAAGGCTGCAGGTCTTGATTTGAGATTTGAGAACCAGACAGAACTGTTGTATAAACATTAATAAATTTGAGAGACATGCTCAGCATGCATTTAACAGGATTCATTCACTTCTAATTTAAAAATGTTTTCATTCTTTACAAACTTAAATACAAGTCAAAGTTACCCTATTAAAGAGAGTGTGATTCAATTTCATTATTTCAAGATGTAAGGAGAAAAAAAAAATAGATGTTATATTGAGATTTCTAAAGGTTGAGCCAAAGTTAATTTTATTGGGACTGTCTGATATTAATAGAGAGATCGTTCTGCTTCAGTATCTTTATATTCCTGTGGACATTCTTCCCAAACTGTTATTGGCAAGTGCAAATGTTAACCACAGACGCTCTAATATGTGAGTGTGAAGTTCTGAAAGTTACACTTGATTTTACAAACCTTCTGAAGAGCAGTTGTGCTGACGTGCAGCTTCTTCATAGGTCCAGATTCCACTGGGCCACTGACCAGTGTGTCGCTTTGACTACTACGCAATTGTCTGTGCTGAAATATTAAAGGGTCCTCTTCCTCTTCGGCCAAAGTATATCCCTGACAGAGAGAAATACACACACAGGTTAGCAAAGCCAAAATAAACACACGTGTATACACACATACACAGTTGTGTTCAGTTTAAATATACCTGCATGCACAAAAGACAGCCGAGAAAGAGCAACAAAATGTTTTTTGTTTTTTGTGTGATATTGTGGTTTATGTACTAGCAACATACATGAATAAAAAACAACCAAAAATAAAATGAATACATGTATATAAGGTGCTCAGCATAAATGAGTACACCACATTTTGAAAACAAATTTGTAATTATATCTCAGTGAATATACGCATATATTCTATATTTATTTTTATATATTTATATTATATTTAATTACATATACACATTTTTATATTGCAAAAAAATTACAAACTACAACATGTCAACAAAATTGTAATGGTTTTCTTAACTTTGCCTCTTTTTAAAACTGTAATTTAATATTTTTCCCTAACATAAAGTTTGTTGTACAAATTTTTGGATTGGTATCATATGTTATTTTTTTAGATTAGCTCCACATTTGAAAAGTAATTCAAGTAATATATACATATTATCAGGGCTGGGAAAGTTGAGGCAGTATTATCGAGTTAAAACATACATTAATTAATTAATTAAGCATATATTATTAGGGCAGGGAAAGTTAAGGCAGTTTTATTGAGTTAACACATTAATTAATTAATGCCAACAACACTCAATGAATTATTTTGCTGTTTGTTTAAACTGCTTATTTAAAATTAGTTGAAACAACACAATTATTTTGTGTTTTTTTGGGGACAACTTAATTTTTTTATATTTAATCCACTTAAATTTGTAAAAAAAAAAAACGTTAAAAGTTAATTTAAGTAACTTAATTTTTGTTGTGACAACATGAACCAATTGTGTGGAACCCAGTGTTTTTACAGTGAATTATTCTATCGCACGTTAACAGTTTATTAAAATTAGTCCATTGCTTACTGGCTCTGAATATACACTGACAAACAATGGGTTAGAACGATCATTGGCTTGGGAAGGCCACCATCAAGCATGTCAACCAATGAGAACATTTGTAATGGGGCTAATGCTGGGTTTTAATTAAATGCGGAGCTCTGCATTACTTGCTCTACCTTACTTCCGGGATCTTTTTTCACTTCAAGCTAAATTGAAGCTTAAGCTCAAGTTGAATTACTTAAAAGTTGCAATTAAGGTGAATTTTACATGTTTGTGGTAAACGCGCCGCACATTCCACATCATTTGTGCCGCCTGGTGGAAATTCGCCTATAAAACTGAAAAAAGCTTTACTTTTCAATTTAATTGGATTACATTAATGTTTAAGTTAGGTTTTACAATATATTTTAACTGTTAAAATGTTATAAAATATGGGAATACACCTCAGTTGTTTAAAGAACAATTTTTAATATACCAGACCTTTTAAAATAAAAATTCTTTGACGAATTTCGCATAGAAAATGCAATTAATCATGTGATTTAAAATTATTTTATTTAAATCGTTACAAAGGATTAATAGTTATATATGTTGTACAGAACTCTGCTAACGTTTTATGCCTACAGTTACGTTTGTTGTTTTAGTGAGGGTATAATGACATTATATATTATTTCTCATTCTCTTTATTAAGATACAAAAAGAAAATAAGGGGTTTAAGATAGATTTAAAAAAACTGATGAAACAAGGACAGTCATGAAATGGCCTCCACAGAGTCCAGACATGAATATAATATACCGTATGTATTGTCAATATTAAAGGCAGTATGAGATTCAACTGGAGAGAAAAAGAAAGATAGAACATGCTAAATCTAAGGATGAACTCTTAGAAATGCTGAAAGATTTTAAATAGCACATCATTTCAGAAAAGACTAAGAGAATAATAAAGTTCAAGCTGTTTAAACGCAGACTTTTAATGCTAGTCTTTTGATTCCAAAAGTAATTTTGTTCTGAATATTGTTTCCCTATATTTTCTGTTTGTATATTAAAAGTATAGTTCACCCAAAGGTAATGACCCTGCACTTACTCCATACCTTTTCGATAGACAGATTTGTGCAAAAGTATGAGGCTTCCAAAGCTGGTGGACTGGCATAGTACTATATGAAGAGTTCAGATGTAAAATCCTATAAATCCATCAGACCTCTTTTCTTGTAAATGACCATTTTCTATCAAGCTCCTATAATTAGGTGAAGAAGTTTCATTTTATATGTAATGATAAGGTTATTAGCTAGTAAATAAACTAACTTTTTTTTAAAATATCACTTTAGACAATTCTTTGTTTTTTAACAAGGTAAATTTTATTTTCCGTCAAAACCAGCTAAATCCTTTTTTTTTTGGTTGCAAAAAACCCTAAATCCACCTTTTGAGACAAGACTCTGTAATTAGCTGTAAATCACTAAAGATGACATTAGAAATTATTTTACCAAACATAAAACACATTACACAAACCATCTAAAATGAAAAAATATATAAATCTGTCAAGCAAGGGGTGGTTCATGTAGTGTAAAAACATTGTGAAACATCAATATCTGTGCATTGTCCATTAATATAAAAAGCTTATCAGACGTATAGGTAATATGAAGTCATATAAATAATGAATAGTTTTTTTACAATATCTTTACCATTATTCTTTTCTTTATCTTTAAAAAAAAAAGCTTAAATTAGCAAATAAAAAACAAGGTAGGCCTACTGTGCGAAAAGGTGATGCCTCACAGACAATTTTAGAAGCTGTCATTCATTCATTCTCACTATACTCAAGGTCTTGGTCTCTTGTTTATCTCTTGTATATCAGCGCGCTGCTACATTGAAAACATACGAGTCGATTTGCGCCTTCTGATTGGTTCTCGGGATATAGCCGCTGAAGAAGATTTTATTCTCTCTGTATGAAGTATTTTCTAACTGTAAAGCAGTTAATTTTCTCTTCACAAAATGTATGTAGTGTTTGCAGCAAACATGCCAGCCTGTGTTAAAAATACAGTGATATGTCTGTGTAAGATGAGTATGCCTGCACAGGAGCAACACTAGGAGAAGGCTGAGTGACTGATTGTGTAGAATAACTGAATATGTAAAACACTGATTATATATGTTAAAACTTGTATGAAGCTATATGTGTCAGAAGTTAGAATGAGTAACATTATCAAGTTATTATCCTATCATAACAATGTATGTAAACACTTAGTTCCTTTGCATAAGTTGCATCTATACTTTGCTGACATAGACCTGTAACATCTCTGTTGACATGAGCTAGTGGGCTGAGAGCCAAGAATAGCAGGACCCCTTAGACTAGAAAACCTATTCAAAAATGGTCAAAAGTTAAAAAGAGACACATAGGGGTGTGTCAAAAAACATAAATAAAGGAGAAGGAGCAGGAGACACTTTAGAAGGTGTCCAGGAGAGACTTCAGAATGCTCTGGGGTCTGCTCTGCTCTTTCTCGGCTTTATTATGGAGAATAAAGTCTATTTTCTGATATTCAAAATCTCCGGTCTGATCATTTCTAATTGATAAGACGTCGAATTTACGACACCGCTTTTGCTGTCAAAGGCAAGTGGTGTTAAGCGGCTTTTGCCAACAAACTATTATTTCTAAATTCACTGATGTTGCGATTTGGATAATTAGAAGCAAATCTATTTGTTATTGGTGTACTACGTCCCTAAAGCATTCACTCAAGTCATTATCTCATTTTTGGCAGAAGTGGCATTTAGCGGCTTTTGCATCTGAACTCTTCATATATATATATATATATGACAACATTGGAATAAAGCTGTGCCTCTGTGCCTTGAAAAATAACATGACATCATTTAGGTTGCACTAGCAAAAGGGAGAAAGCATATGTATGTAAATAAATATAAGATTTATTCTCCAAAAACAGGGCAAAATGTTCCCAGCAGTATTACATGTTGGATATTTTTTGTCCGAAAAGAAAAATGATGCATGTCAATGGCAAAGACGAGATTAATTCTGGTATGCCAAGAGACCATGTGCTAGAACAGGAAGTCTGGGTTCACTAGCAAAGAATGAGGGGTGGTTGACACAGGAGGCTACAGTAAATGCAGCAAACAGAGGCAGGCTTCTCCATCAGAACACAAGAGGAGGCTTGTTTAAGACATGAATTGTCATCAGGGACCTAGTTTATGTAGAAAAAGTTAGTTTTTCTGCAAATAGGAGGCAGGATGCTGACCTTGACGATACGACAGATGAGAACATCATAGCGCTGGTGATTGATGCGGTGTTTCAACATCACTTTGTTCACCATAGGAATGAAGATCTGATACTGTGAAAGAAACAGAGACAGATTCATTTATACACTATTTTAAACGATATATTTTTTTAAACCATGAATATTAACAAATGAATTTCAACACAATTCTATAAGGTCTTCAAATATTTTCCACATGATTAAACCATATTTATAATGTGCTGTATTTACATTTGAAGTCAGAATTATTAGCAACCCGTTATTTACACTCACTGGCCACTTTATTAGGTATACCTTACTAGTACCAGATTGGCCCCCTTTTGCCTTCAGAGCTGCATTAATCCATCGTGGCATAGATTCAACAAGGTACTGGAAATATTCCTTAAAGATTTTGATCCATATTGACATGATAGCATCGTGTAGTTGCTGCAGGTTTGTCGGCTGCACATCCATCTTCCGTTCCACCACAAAGGTGCTCTATTGGATTGAGTTCTGGGGACTGTGGAGGTCATTTGAGTACAGTGAACTCATGTTCAAGTAACCAGTCAGAGATGATTCGCGCTTTATGACATGGCGCATTATCCTGCTTGAAGTAGCCATTATAAGATGGGTACGCTGTGCTCATAAAGGGACGGCCATGGTCAGCAACAATACTCAGTTAGGCTGTGGCGTTGACACGATGCTCAATTGGTACTAATGGGCCCAAAGTATGCCAAGGAAATATCCCCCACAGCATTACATCACCAGCAGCCTGAACCGTTAATAGGCAGGATGGATCCATGCTTTCATGTTGTTGATGCCAAATTCTGACCCAACCATCCGAGTGAGACTCATCAGACCAGGCAACGTATTTTCAATCTTCTATTGTCCAATTTTGGTGAGCCTGTATGAGTTGTAGCCTCAGTTTCCTGCTCATAGACAGGAATGGCACCCAGTTTGGTCTTCTGCTGCTGTAGTCAATCCGCCTCAAGGTTTGAAGTGTTGTGCGTTCAGAAATGCTCTTCTGCATACCTTGGTTGTAATGAGTGGTTATTTGAGTTACTGTAGTTGTACCTAATAAAATGGCCGGTGGGTGTTTATTTGTCCAATTTCAGTTTAACAAAAAAATTTTCCAGCATATTTTTTTAAACAAAATAGTTTTAATAACTCATTTCTAATAACTAATTTCTTTTATTATTACCATGATGACGGCACAAAATATTTTACTAGATATTTTTCAAGATACTAGCATTCAGTTTAAAGTAACTTTATGTCACTTTTTATATCATTATACATTATACATGGTTTACTCTGTAGACAATCAAAAAAATGCTAATTGCTTAAGGAGGCTAATAATATTGACCTTAATTAAAAAAATACAATTAAAAACTGCTTTTATTGTAGCCTAAATAAAATAAATAAGACTTTCTTCAGAAGAAAAAAAAACATAAAATACGGTGAAAATTTGGGATTTAAAAAAAAAATAAATCACAGAAGGACTAATAATTGTGACTTCAACTGTATGTAATGAACATAGACTAACAATAACTAAAAAGACGGTTACAAAATTGAGAATATGTGAAAAATAGAAGAATTC